CAAAAATGTATTTGCACCCAAAATTTTGAGCATATTTAAAATTGATCAAATAAAATTCATGATGACAGTTTAGGATATTCACATATATTAATATGCAAGAATAAAAATTGACATAGCATTATTGGAACAGAATTTAAGCATCATTCATAAAAATTTACAATCATACTATTGTCTACTTTAACCCAATTTTCAATCTCTATCTTTCCTATAAGAAAATATTACATTTTCCCAATAAGTTATGTTCAATAATGCTGATAATAATCTTACTAGCCACTATCAACAAATGGAAAACAATTATGTCTCCATCAGGAAGATAATAGTGTAATCAATTATGGCACATACACGCTTTAGAATTCTAGGGAGTTATTAAAAGAGTAAGGTGTATAGGACGGCACCTGTGGCTCAGTAAGTAGGATGCCGGCCCCATATACTGAGGGTGGTGGGTTCAAACCTGGCCCCAGCCAAACTGCAACAAAAAATAGCCAGGCGTTGTGGTGGGTGCTTGTGGTCCCAGCTATTCAGGAGGCTGAGGCAAGAGAATCACTGAAGCCCAAGAGCTGGAGGTTGCTGTGAGCGAGCTATGATGCCACAGCACTCTACTGAGGGTGACAATATGAGACTCTGTCTCTTTAAAAAAAAAAAAAAAGCAAGGTGTATTTATATGTGTTCTCATAAAAAGATCCTGCATTTATTTCATTAAGTGACAAGGGTAAGAAGCAAACCAACATGTACATCAATCATTATCTGGGTATGTTAATGACATAGTGTATTTTTCTAGTACATCTATGTAAGGAAAAGCTCAAAATATATTTTTAAATGATATGCAAAATATTTTAAATTGTGATTATTTCTGAGGGGAAATGAATTTTGTTTTTTTTGAGGGGGGAATGAATTTTGGAGGACTGCAGTAAGGAAGGGGACTTGTGACTTACCTATAGCATCAGGTTTTCCCAGCAGAATATGCTATTACCTTTGTAATTAAAATATTTCAATGAAGACAAAGGAGAAATAGTAGCTGTGTATTTTTCGGATAAAGTAACCTTAAGAGAATATAACAGAAGCAACCTGAAATCTGTAAGATTTAACACAATAAAAGTTTATTTCTTGTGGACACGTAACCTGTTGTGAGTAGGTCTCCTACCTAACAGGCTGCTGTCAGGCAACCCAGGGATGCTGGCTGCTTTCATCAGATGGCTCCACATGTCAACATTTGATCTGTTTGTTTACTGCTGAATAGAACAGAAAGCATAGAAGTTGAATACTGACTTTCAAATGGTCTGGGAATGAGGAATATTGTTTTTGTTAGTATTTTAGTGGCAAGGAAAGTCAAATAGCCCTTCCTAACTACAAGAGGATTGGGTATGTAGTCTCCCCACGTGTGCAAAGGAGACAGCATGAAAGGTAACAGATCAACATTTGCAGACTATCCATAAGCACTTATGTAGTAGGTGACAGGAAGGCGTCACTTTTACATTTGTAGGTACAATTTCCTCTCCATTCTTAAAGAAGGTTCTGAGAAGGGCAAATATTTCGGGTGCCTACTATAAAACAGGTGTTTTCAAATACAGGATCATATCAATTTTCTAAAGGACTCTTTAAGACAGGGCTCCTCAAACTTTTTAAACAGGGGGCCAGTTCACTGTCCCTCAAACCATTGGAGGGCCGGACTGCAGGCCCCAGGACGAGTCAGCTGCTAAGCAGGACAGGCAGCAGCGGCAAAAATACCCGTTGGGCCAGATAAATGTCCTAGTCGGGCCGCATGTGGCCCGCAGGCCGTAGTTTGAGGATGCCTGCTTTAAGAATTGTTAACACGAGGGTTTCAACAGCACCATTTTCTACTTACCTTGACAAAAGTCTCAATACACTAAGAATTTTCTTCTTCCTTTCATTACGTGATCAAAATCATAAATCAGCAGTTCTCAACCCGTGGGTCATGACCCACAGGAACCATATTAAAGGGCCGCGGCATTAGGAAGGTTGAGAACCACTGATCACAAATTGTGAGGATGTGGTACTCACAACTGATGAGTATTTCTGAACACTCGTACAGGTGTCTTCACACACACTAAAAAAACAAAATTTTCCCTTGGGGAAGACACAGACAAGAGTCAGCTGAAGCATGGAGATTATTTGTATGTTTCTCATAAAGGCCAGCATGCTAGGAAAACATTTTCTGCCTTGGTGGCAGACTGAATGAATTGCTACAAAAAGATGGCAATAGGCAGTCCCCAAATGGTTTTTAATTCTCATTTTCTCCTTTATTTCTTACACTTGGGGATAGGACACCGGCCCAGATTCTTTCTTTTCATTGCCTGGAGACATTGTGTAGTATGGAAAAAAGAAATGCATTAAGAGACAAAGGTCAGCTTAAGCAAAGAGGGGTGAAGTAACAACGTGGACTCTACAAGAATTTATACTGGGGGTCTAGTTCCAGCATTATCACCTACATGTCAGGGGAACCTGTGAAAATTACAAAGTTCTATGAGCCTCAGATTCTTCATCCGTGAAATGGTTTGAAAATGAGTCCAGTTGCCCCTAGCTCATATATTCTTTATAAAGTAGGAATTTTGGGAGGCACCACAAAGCCTGGTAAATACTGAGTTTTGATATATTTTAGTTATTATTATATTTATTTTGACTCCCAAACCTACCAATCTCCAGTTTTTTTTATTTTTTTATTCAGGAAATGTCAGAGAATTTGCAGCCCAATGGGATATACCACACCTAATCAGCCAAAATGTAGCTTAGCAAGTTAAACTAAGTTACCTGCTATAAAACTTTTTTGAGATTATGTTTTTATTGTAGACGTGAGGGAGTCTTACATAGTTTGATCCAACTTAGAGCTCCTAGAAATCATGTTAAGTTCTCAGTCCCTCCCTTCCATCTTCTCTTCCATCTAAACCACCTATATTTGCAATTATTTAACTCCCATAAAGATTCAGTTATAGCTGGCTTGGCACCCGTAGCACAGTGGTTATAGCATCAAGGCTGGCAGGTTCAAACCCAGCCAGCTAAAACAACAGTGACAACTGCAACAAAAAATAGCCAGGCATTGTGGTGAGCGCCTATAGTCCCAACTACTTGAAAGGCTGAGGCAAGAGAATTGCTTAAGCCCAAGAGTTTGAGGTTGCTGTAAGCTTTGACACCACGGCAATCTACCGAGGGTGCCATAAGGAGACTGTTTAAAAAAAAAAAAAAGGAAGAAAGAAAACTTAGTTTTAGCTTATAGTTTACCAAATTACATATGAGATCACCTAATTTAAATGCTCATTTAATGAATGGGCTATGCCTCTCCCACCTTACTGCAAAGATTGCCAGCACAGTGGCTTTCGCGCATTCTGTCTCTCATTAACATATCCCCGTTATCCCTCTGACACTCTCTTGTGATAATGTCCATGTATCACCTTTTGTGTACTGTGTTAAATCATGCTTTTGTGCACTGTGTTCACCTGCATGAAGAGTCCAGGACGGTTTCCATTTGCGCCCCAGCTCGATATTCCTCTATGGTTTATTCATGATCTAAAGCTAAATGCTAAAAGCAGTTTTTCATCCTAGTCCTTAGTCTCTCAACTCTCAAACACACCATACAAGATTTTGGCCACTGTCCACTTCCAGATACTCATGTGACCCCCTCCACTCCATTTAGCTCAGTGGTTCTCAATCTTCCTAATGCTGTGATGTATTTTCATTGTTACAAATGGGTTGCAACCCACAGGTTGAGAACCACTGATTCAGCTTAATTTGAAATTTTCTCACCTTGATGGACTTGCAGTTTCCCAAGGCCCAAATCCCTTGCCACAGGACATTTGCACTTGACTGCTCATGTGAAATCCCCAAATCTTCAGACCTTTTTACTTGTTCTTTTGGTTAGGGGTTATCTCACTGGTGTGGACTGAATGTCTGTAATTTATATACTGAAACCTAAATCCCTATTGTGATGGTGTTTGGAGGTGGGGCTTCGGAGAGGTAATTCGATCTTGAGAGTAGAGCCTTCATGTATGGGATTAGTGCCCTTATCAGGGGATGAAGAGACCAGAGCTCTCTCCACCTTGTGAGAATACAATGAGAAGACTGGCCAGCAGGAAGAAAGCCTTTACCTTTACCCGAAACTAGACCTGACAACCTGATCCCAGACTTTCAAACTCCAGAAGTATGAGAAATGAATGTCTGATGTTTAAGCCACCCAGTCTATGATAATGTTATAGCAACCTAAACTAAGTCACTCACCATCTTTCTTTCATGATGGCTGCTCCAAGACTTTAAATTTCTATGGTCATTGATGATTCTTGTTCATGTTAACACTGCAGGTACTAAGAAAAACCTTCCAAAGAGCAGATGATCAATTATTGTTAAATAAAGAACAAATGAGTCCCTGAAAATAAGATCTAATCTTTTATGATTTCATTTTTTCCTACATTCCTAAATAAACTAAAATATTATCAAGGTATATGTATGCATACATACATATACGTTCAAAATTAACAGGCCAAAATTAATAAGCAAAATCAACAATGCGTAATTTTTTTTATTTTTATACGTACACAAGGTTTTACACTTATGTATTCATTTCAAAATATGATATGGTTGCAAACATTTTTGGTTACAAGTATCAATTTTGTCATGCTTTCTCCATTTCTTAATCTCAACAAAGTAGTCAACGCTGACTTCTTTCACATTTCCAAGAAAATGCCTAACTTACTACCACGCTATTTGTTTAAAATCACTATGATGAAACATTAACTCTTACTCTTAAAGGTTATTCACAGCAACAAACATTTGAACAATGTCATTCATATCCTTAGATTCTAAAGTCACTTAAATTGTCTAATAAAAGTTTAACAGTACTTTTAAAAATTATTCAGAATATATAACAAAACAGTGAAACAAACATGTTATATATGGTGTTGTCTCCAGCCCCACTCTCACCTTCCACTACTTATTATGTGAAGAAAACAACTACAAAGTGAGAATGAATCAGAATCTACTAGGGGTGGGAGGACCTAATGGATATGGCCCCGGAACGCGCAAGGGCCATGGCTGCAATTCGAGCCCTGGCTGCGCTTCTGGCTCGTGCTCTCTCTTCCTGCTCTTTCATAGCCTCTTCATACCAGGCTGGGAAATCACTAGGGGAAGCCCTATGGACCTTGGCTAAAAACTCAAGGACTTTCATCTTGCTGGTTTCAGCATAGGCTCGCGGACCCCACAGGAACACATAGCGTGGAGGAATAGTGTTGGGCACCTGCCGGTACTCCAGGTAATTTTCCCTCACCAAATCCCTGGTGAGGATTTTCCTGGGCTCTCCAAAAATAAAATGCTTCCTCCCCGCATATAACCCCATTACATTCAATGTTTTCCAGACTTGCGTTTCAGTGGCACAATTGCCCTTTGTGAAGATCACACCCAGGACAGTCATCAGCAGGCCGGTCAGAGGTATACGTCTGTCGTCACTCACCCTTGCATCGCAGCCTGGTTCCAGCTTGTTGATGAGGACGTAGATGTGCTTGTTGGGATCCAATTCCTTCAGGTCAAGGCCAAAGACCAGCTCCAGGTGCTCTGCAGCCTTATTCACGATCTCATGGTAGAAGCTCTTGTGCGGCTGGATTATATTTCTCAGCATTTCTTGCTTCGTAATGGGCTCTTTCAAATGATACTTATACAGCAGGTAATGCACCAACACAACCACCCTCTCACTCACGGCGTTTCTTGACCTGGACTCAGTGGCAGATGGATTCTGCGAGGATCTTGGCCTTCCCTCTCTCGGGTTGTTGCCACTTTGTGAAGCAGCTGCAGCAGCAGTGGTGGCTCTCTCAGGCCCCTGGGGATTTCTGGTACTCCCAGAAGCAGCTGAGCTCTGGGGTGTAATCCTGGGACCAGCAGCGGCAGGAGAAGGTGCCCCTCCTTCTGCTCCTCCAGTGGCCTGAGCATCCACTGGAGGGTTGGGTGCTGATGCTTCTCCAGCCTGACGAAGCCGGTGGCGTTTCTCACGAGCTCGGACCTTACTCTTCTGACCTCGAGGCATGATGGCTTTAGACAAGGTCAGTGGGCAGGTAGACCAGGACCTCTGTGACCAAAAAGAAAAAAGATGAAATAATTGGGCCACTTCAGCCGACAGACACCTCCTGGGCTTTACTGAAGGCTGCCTCTGCAGTTTTCCTTAAAGTCACTGCTCCAGGAACTCACAATGCTCCTGCTCCTTGATCTGCCTATTCCTTAAGGCCCCTGTGAAAAAAGCTAAGGTTTGCCTTAGGTCGTTGCTACTTGCCAGATCTGCCTGGGACTCAATGACCTTAGAGCAGAGACTCCGTTCGGGAGTAGGAGGTCTGTCTTTCCGAGCACACTAGGGAATATCACTTTCCTTCTGGCAGGATCTGCGGCCCCTGTGATATTCTACTTTGGTACTGGCCTCTCATTTAAAAGCCTTTACCTTGCTGTAGCCCCCAGAGGATGACCTGAGGGAAACATCATCTGACTACACCTGCCTGGAGACACAGACAAAAGCACAGGCAGAGCTCCATGGGTCTCTATCTAGAATAATTAGTATTCTCAGTCCTCGCTCAGTTTTCTTATTAAGTTTCTGCTAGTTCTAGGACTCCTCTCTGCTGATCATAGACTATCTCCTTTGAGCAAGGCACGTACATCCCTGAAAAGAATAAAAAGAATGCTGGAAAGACACAGCCTAATTATATCCATTCCAGGTGCACCCCGGTTGAAGGCATGGATAAGACTCCGTGACTTCTACTGTTCCGAGGTGCGCGGTCACCTCAGTCCACACTCGTGTTCACAAATTTACAGCCAGAAAAGCAAGAGGCTCCTTTCTCTACTGACATGAGACTATCCCTCTCAGCCCAAAGACCCCCATCTCCTTGACCCCAGTCCCACCCCAATGACAATATTAAGGAATGCCTTGCCTTACAGCCTGGCCCAAGGCCTCACCGGGGCTGATATTCAGGGTGCGTGGATCCCCCAAATCTCACCCAGTAACCTCGCTTTACTGCTAACACCATCCAGGGATCTCTTCTGACTTGCCCAGTGGTCAAGTTCCTTTCTAAGGCGTTTACTTCCTGTAACACTCCCCAGAGGCAGAAGTCGGGGTTCCTTACACCAGTCCACCTTCATTCTGTCTCAAGCCCGAAAGTACGAAACTGCAAGATGCCCTTTGCTCAGAGGAAAGGAATTCCCTTCAAACCTCAGATTCTGCCTTTATTCTTATTAGGGAACCCTTTGTCTGCGGTCTGAAGTCAACACCCTGGTCTGATACTCTCACCCTCTCCAGCTACCAGGGTGAGATTTAGAAGGTATTCAGAAACTCTGGACAGTCCCAGTTGGGGGAGTTGAAAGTGAAAGCGGGGACAGAACTTTCTGGGAGTTCCAGTCTGATGTAAACCGTCCACTCACAGCTAATTCAGCATCATTACCTTAATTCCAAGCAGTGCCTAGGAGCGCTCGGCCTTCCTGGACTGACCTGCGGCGACTTCTCAGCACCCAACCCCCCGGGCACGTTCCTCACGCAC